ATGTATAAAATATCATGAATTTTTGTTAAGTGAAAAAAGTCAATTATTAAATGATATGTAAGATTATATGAAAAAGTAATAAAAAAATTATCTCTAGATAATTTTCCTAATTGTATAATGCCAATACTAGTAAAATTGCAAAAGACCTCCAAGCTTGAAATGAACCATGGAAAGTGGAAAAGAAAAATTAAAACTTGTAAGCTTATAACTATAACTGAAAGTTTAAAGACTAATGCTTTATGATGAAGACTCTGGGTTCTTGCTTAAGATGGTTTCAATGAAGCAGCCATTTCTGTTTCCAAAAAAGCCTCTCTTTTTAAGCTCAGATAATCAGATTGGTAGAACAGCAATACATAATCTCCGCTCTCTCCTCTTTGGGTCTCAGACAAAACAAATTCCAATTCTCTTTTGGACAACAATATGACTAAAACAAATCACAACCTTTCCTTTCCATCTCTCTCTCAAGAGATTATGTAAATTCTTCCGATAAGATAATAGTAGTCAAAGAGGAAATGCTGAAATTCTCATTTTGTTCTTCATTTTCTAAAGCATTATTTCAGTTTTGCTTTGTTAATTGTTATTTATTTTATGGATTAAATGTCCGCCTTCATGTGGCAAACATTGATAGATTTCTTCTGCAAGAATGCTTACTATAGCATCATTTTTTCATTCATTTTATTAAAATTTTCCTGCGCAATTTCCATCCAGAAAAATGAAAAACTACTATGATCACTGCATTCGCTCAATTAGTGGGTTTCCTTTGATCCTTTCCTTTCTACTTTTCCTTGAAAAAAGAGACCATTTATGAAGAAGTCCCAGCATTTCTCTGAAAAAGAAAAAAACTTTAATAATTCCAATTTTCCTAGTCAGCTACCCCCATAAAGGCAAACCCTAGCAATTGGGTCAACTGGTGCCCCTTGCTTCTTAAACCTTTTCCAGCTTTTAATGTGCTGCGTTTTGAATCCCATTCTCCTTCTCCAAAAAATCCCCTTGGTTCAAGAAAATAAATAAATAAATAAAAACAATTGCTTAGGTCGGTTCTTAAATCAAAAGAAATCAATGTGCACTTTGAAATTTGAATCTCTACTAAGCTCATTTTTCTTTTGACAGAGAAGTACACGTGCTATATAGTATAAAGGAAATATACACATAATCCAATTTTACAAGGATAAGCTTGATGAAAAATCCAAATCTAGATAGAAAACATCAAGTCCTTGAAACAGCCAGGATTGTAGTCTCTAGGTTGTAACTTGCAAGAATCATGCAGAAAGAGAATCCACCTCCAGTCCCAAGCAGGGTGATAAAACACGAATAACCAGTGCCTGCAATTGTTCCTATGTATGCTTGAAAGTCCCATATTACTGATACATAGGCATACAAAGTAACAAAGGAACTTTCAAATCTTCATTTGGATTCGAACTTTCTATCTCCTTAGGTTGCTGTAGAAGACATCCACGTCCCAGTCCCATTGTGCTGTATAGCCTGCATTAAATCAAGGCACTGTTATTCATATGAATTAGAAAGCCAATTTCATTTACCACTTGTATTAGAAACACAACCCATGATAGTTTTCTGCCAAATTTACAGTGAAATTATTTTAAAGGTTCATATGTCAAGCAAGTATAGAAGTTCATAATTTACAAGGAATAAATAACAAAAATAAGGAAACAATTACCTCAGTATGAAAAGTTCGTCCATTCTTTCAGGAC